ACTCTGAAGATGACTTCCGCTCAGGTTGTCGAAACGTCAGTCACCAACAACAGTTCTTTTCAGAGCTACCTTCACCCGGACGATCACACTATACGAACTACTAATACTACTGGGTTGAAACCATTTACAATCTCATCATCATGACTGATTATTTCTCCTTCTTCTCAGAGTTCCCACTCGAGATTAACTAAGGAATTGAGGAAACAATTTCTCTGTTTGGAACACCTGTGGAAGTAGTTTCTGATAGTGGCTTTCAGTTTAAGTCTAAGATCTTTGAAGATTCCTAAAAAGAATGGGGTTTTCAACGCTCGATATCGTCTCCAACATATTCACAGTCTAAAAGCAAAGCTGAGGCCGCAATAAAAAAAATTGTTGAAAAAATCTCCGTAAGAACTGTGTCTTAGTAACTCAAGCTGAGTTCTGCAGGGGAATGGTGGCAATCCTCAATGCTCAACTTTCTTACACAGAGAGATCGGCTCAGCAGTTATTTAGTACATAATTTTTTCCTAGATTGAAAATCCAAAGGAACAATTTCTGACGTCCACCACAAGAGGAAAAATCCTGCAGGCCAAGAATAAAGAGAAACTGTACTACGATCAACAAACATGCCAAAGAGCTACCTCCGCTCAACCAGGAGCCCGTGTTGCAATCCGTTCCTACGTTGTCACTGACTGGTCTCTGTTCTGTGTGGTCTTGAAATCAGATACAATTTTTTCTTTGTCCATAATATTCGCTTTAATTTTAAAAATAATTCTCTTTACAAGGTTAAAAAAGTTAAAACGTAGAAAACACCGAACGGTTTTCGACACAAGGTCATCTTCAACGCTGCTAAATGAACAGTGTACTTTTTCACATGTTTAGTAAACTTTTTGCATATTGTCTCCTATGGAAGAAGGGAGGTATTGTTCTGATCCTCTGTAGAGGCTAGGGGGGAGATATTGTTTTACCTACTAGGAGACTTGGGTCCAATTCAACCCCCAACCCAAGACTACATGGTATCGTCTATCTAACTGGGTCGAAACCATCCATTTGTTATTTTAACATTTTTGATGGAATTGTTATTTGCTATGCGTTGTGTGTCATCGTCAAGAAAACTACCATAAAAACGTTAGTTGTCTTCATTTACCTTCCTGACAGTATTGCTTGGTGCTGCACTCTCTTAAAGCTGCTTTGGGTCCAACACATTGATTTCCACCATACTTTGGCTTTGGATTTGTGCAGTCTCTTGTCCTTGTTTGTATGCCACTGATATTCTTACTACATAGACTCCACTTGCTCCAATCGCTCCAGCCACCGTGAACTTACAAAGAGCAAAAATAAATATCTGAATCAACTGAAGTAAGACATGTATTCATAAACAACTTAAAACTGAATAACATCGACGATTAAAAGCACTCCTCGGCTAATAAAAAATCGAGCCCATAGAAACAGTATGACCAATCTACAACAAGAAGTCCATTCCCTGCTGATACAAACTGAGTAGCACGAGAATAAAGCCCGGGAATATCAGCTTGTTTAAAGAATTGTTTGGAACTTCGTAGAGGATGAACAGCGTTCCTTGCGGTTCCTTAATGTATTGTTAAGCATATCATAACAGATTTACAAGGTATGCGTTAAAATTAGATCATGACAATACCTGTAAATTTGTTGGTGAGTATGTTCATGTCATGTTTCACAAAAAAACAGACGTCACTTCAATGTAAGTAACTGATTAATTGACTGGCAGACAGACTGATAGAGCGACGGACTACCGTGCGGGAGGTCTCGGGTTCGAGCCCCAGACCGGACCAGCACTCAGGGTCTAAAATAACTGAGGAGAATATGCCGCCTTTGCAATGACATCTGCAAATGGTTAGATATTCCAGTCTTCTCGGATGAGGCCGATAAACCGTAGGCCCCGTCTCCTGCATCTTCACTATTATGGTCAGCAGGGGACGTTAAAGAACCCACACACTCATCGTAAAGAGCTGGGCACGAAGTTCCCGGTGTTGTGGTCTGGTCTTTGCCCATTGTGCTGTTGAAATGCTCGGAGACATTAGCTGTTAAAGCAACTCTACAATCCGAGGGTAAATAAAGTATATTACTACTACTACTACTACGACGACGACGACGACGACGACGACGACGAC